ACGCCGTTCTCTCCTCTCCCCATCCCTCACCCCACACCGAACAGTCCCTTCCCCAAGTTCAGGGAGGTCATCTCTCCTCCACAGACTGAACACCTAACAGTGAAGCACTCAGTCTTATGCCTATGATGATAAAGCCTTAAGATTGTGAACATTGCGTAGAACATTCGCCTAAAGAACATTGTGTATTTGTAATTCCTGTTTCCGACACTAATAAAATTTGTCTCAGTCTTTCATGAGTCCAGTAGCGTAATGTGAAGCTCAATCCCAGTTAGAATCTTTTCCTACCACTCAACAGCTGACCAAACTATCTCTTTGCTCTGCTTGCGCGAGCTTAACTACAGCAAACCCTTGTACATCCCGAGTATAATATATAGGCAGTTTGGGAGAGTTCAAATTTCCTAAGACACCACAATCATTAATGTGGCAATGAAACCATAAAACTAAGTGAGGCAGGACAAATAATATTTGACCACCCAAAATTCAGTCACATACTATTATTATAAACATGTGGTGGACATAAGGCACTAGGGCAATTCGCTGCGACTGAAGCTGGCCCCAGGGACTGACTGAGGTCAGCACACAGGGGACGGCAAGGGGAGGGCGTAGCCACTCGGAGATAAGTGCCTGGATCGAGGTCCTCCTCCCAGAGCCAGAAACTGGTTCTGCAGCGATCCGACGATGAGTCGAAGCCGGTAAATGGCCCTCCCAGCGGCACTGTTAGCTGGCACAGTAGCAACAGTGGAGTGGTTCCTTCCCATCCCACTTGTTCCGAGATTTGCGGTGTTTTTGGTTTTGCTTTGTTCTCGTGTCCATGTGCCTGAAGCCATGAGCAGCAATCGAGGCAAAAATATTGCATATGCACATTCCTATATTCTCTTTTGATGAAGCCCATTCACTAATTGCATTGAACCCTTTTAAAATGTTTTGCAAATGGGATATAGTATATATGTTTTCTTATACCTAGATCCAGTGCAACGTCTATGTAACATTGCCTGTTTAGCTTTGGCCTCGGGCCCCTCTCTCCCTCACCAGCATAAGCCCCTATTCGTTTTCTCTCCACCCCCTCCCCCTCCCACACAGTCACCCTACACATTTCCCCACCCAGGTACGTGGTCGAGAGTACGGTACTGCCGTTCCACCCTCCCCCGCCCCTCGAGGGACCTTCCCCCCCACTCCCTCCCGCACTCCCCAGCGAAGTAACTGTGTCTTCACCCCACCGAGTTTCAGACTAGCCTGAGCCTTCTCTCTTCCGACATTCATCACATGACTCTCATTGGACCTTCCATTTTTCTCCATATTTGTATATATAGCAGTCGTGTTGGAGATTGTGGCAAGGACGATGGGCACAAGTTAATTTATATACACACAATTTGATTCCCAAATGCAAGGTTAAAAAGTGAAAGCGGACGCCGGTGTTGAGTACATGTTTGCTTAATAAAAACAGAGCACTAAATCAGGCCAGAATGGGTGAGAGAGGGCAGACAGAAACTCTTATATACTACATCCAACATTTCTCCTATAGTTATATATCTAGTGGGAGTCCCGGCTTCAATGGTGTCATTGCCACCCCTGGCCCTGTCCCTAAAGCTATAATAATCCTATCCCCCTAGTCCCCTCTATGCTCGGTACGAATTGTCCTAACCTATAAATAATTTTTTCAGAGGTGCACTTGCAACCGCATGACGTCTGGAACAACGATAGTGAGCTTGTGGCAAAGTGCTGGCCGTAGTTGGTTTGAAAAATAGTTATTTTACCAATTACATATCAGGGTTGTCAAATAATTATGCAGAGATCAAGATCTTCCAGAAGTTAAAGTGTGTTTAAAATCATCATGTGTTGATGCCCTGGATATACATACATACTACACACAGTGATTACGTAGTATTGGCCAGAGTATTAGTACGGGAGACGTAAAGATCTGGGGATCATAGAGGTATATTATGTGCTTATTGTCGTGTTTCAGACTTTTGTACTAGCTGTTCGTGTTTTGAGGTCCGCCCAAGAATTTTTATGTCCCCGTCCCCGTCGCCGCAACACCGGACTTCCGGTCTTGTCTTCGACTACAGCCAAAGGTCCTCTCCACCTCTCCTTCCTCTGGTCCCGAAGGCGTTGTCGCGCTCAGTCGCAGAGGGTCCCCAATCCCTCCCCCCAAACCCCCCTCCCTCCCAGCCGAGCCACCACATGCCTGCCAGTGTAGCGGCGCCTGCTATCACCATGCCAGGACCAAGCTAGTAGGACCACATATCCGGGGTGTGTGCTGGGCAAGTTGTCCCCCCCATGAAGTTTATCTGTTTTTGAGTAAAACCGTAAGTTACAAAGTGACAAGGGAGCAGTAGAACAGAGGCAGTCCGCGTGTCCAGACCCCACCGCCGAGTCTGCATGGTCTGGTAACTATTGACCACATTAATGGTCCGAATCTCGAATGGAGATCTTCTCCGATAGATCCCAGAACGGCCATAAAAATCCGCGCATGAGGGAGGGGCCCGCAGGGTCTGGCTAACTTTGGTGTATGTGGGGCCACGATGTCATACATGGCCCCCACCTACACCAAATCTGCAGACTGCTGAGCGCAGCCGATTTTTAATTGCCGTCTGTGATCTGATCAGACATCTCCATTCGAATCAGACCAATAATGTGTACACATAATTTTAACGCAACACCCCATGATAGGTGTGTGGGGCATGACACGAGACGCTCTTTACTGCTTCCCTTGTCCTATTGTAACTACTGTCTCCTCACTTACATAATAACTCCTGACACGTTGCCAGCCACACCCCGCTACTGCGGGTCCTACTAGCTGTGTCCTGTGCCTGGGTGATAGCAGCGCTACTGGGCAGCATGTGGTGGTGGCTGGGATGAGGGAGGGTGGGGGAGCGAGTCTGAGTGACAGCATGTGGACCAGAGGACAGCGAGAGGTGGAGAGGAGGGACGACAAGCGCCGTGTGTGTTGGGCGCGACGGACAGGTACATAAAAAGCTGAGGAGTCTCGTGGTGTGGTGACTCAAACACGAACAGCTCAGTACAAAAGGTCTGACACAACGAAATACTCCCATATAGATGTCTCTATGATCCCAGATCTTTACGTGTACTAATATTCCAATCCGTACATATGTCATGTATGTTGGTATATCCAGGGCATCAAACATGATGCTTTTAAACACACTTTACAACTCTGATGGATCTTTGCTGCATAATTATTTGACAACCCTGATATGTATATGGGATATACTATTTTTTACAACCATTTGCCAGACTCAAAGCTCTACCGTTGTTCTCAGACGTCATGGCGGTGCAAGTGCACCTCTGAAAATTATTTATTAGGTTACAGCGTCTCGTTACCGAGTCACCTGAGGGACAGGGGATGGATTATTATATGCGTTTTACAGAGGTAGACAGTCCAGGGTGCAAACTGTGACACCATTGATAGCGGTCCCACTCTCTATATAACTATATAGAAATGTTGGATTGTAGTATATAAGAGTTCTTAGGTCTGGTTCCACCATTCGGGCCTGATTTCGAGTTGCTGGTTTGTTTTATGAGCACCACAACTGCTCGCGCTTTTCACTTTTAACTGCCATTGTGGAATCGCAATAGTGTGTGTGTGTAGGTATAGGTACGTCTTGTGCCCATCGTCCCTTGCCACAATCTTCTGCACACGCTGCTATATTATACAAATATGGAAAAATGGAGTCACATGAGAGTCTGTGATGATGAAATGTCGGAGGAGAAGGCTCCGGTCTAGTCTGATCACTCGGTACAGGGTGGTGAGGTACACAGTACATTCGCTGGGCGATGGGAGGAGTTGGGGAGGGGGGCGGGTGGATGGTGGCACGGAGTAACGTACCTCGAACCACTGTTGCCGAAATGTGTCGTTTGACTGTTTGTAGGGGCGAGTGGGTAGAGAAAGATAATGAATATGTTTAATCTATAGGTGCGAGTTTAAACAAAAAGGGAAGTGGTGTTGGGACAGGGTGAGAGGAAAAGAAGATGTAAAATGTGAGAAGTCGGAGGGGCGGAGTGTCTGAAAGAGATGATCGCCGCTTGCATTATCCCCTGTCTTTCTTCTTACGCTTTTCTTTTTCTTGGGCCCTCTCGCTCTCCCGTTGCCCCTCTTGGCCGCCCTTTTTCTTGTCCTCCTGGTTTCTCTTTTCTTCTTGGGAGTTTCCCTCTCGCTCCTCTCCCGTTACCCCCCTCTCTTCCCACTTTACTTCTTTTGCTCGCGTTGCGCGGTTCTGGCCCGCGCTCTCATCCCTGCCCCTCTGCCCCTTTTTCTTCTCTCCCTTTTCTCCTTTTCTTTCCCTCTCTCTCTCCCCGCCGCTCGCTTCCCTGTGTGCTGCGGCGCTGTTCGCTGGCTTGCCCTGCGCGGCTCCCTTCCCACATCTTCGGTGTTCCGCCCCCTGGGTGTCGTGAAAATAGACCCGAATCGTCACTCTCCTTTGGTCCTAGAGCATTGCCAAATGATACCTTGTCCCCTCGCGCTCGCCCTGCCCCTCTTTGGCCTGTTGCGTCGTCTTCGTTTCTCTTTTGCTGTCCCTCGCGCTCTCCCTCCCCTCGGACATGGTGAGCGGAGAGGGCGCGGGTGAGGGGCGGGCGCCGCCTCGAGTCGCCGGCACCGCTGCCACTGGTGCCGAGGATAGTGCTCGGGTCCGGGAACATCGCGCGCGACGACCTCCCGGGACCCCCCGCGCCGTGCCGCCCGTGCTCGTGTCGCGGTGCTCCTCACGCGGGTTCGGGGTTCTTCTTGTGCCCCCCTCCCTGTGTCCCTCCCCCTGCCCCTTCCTCTTTCCCCTCCTTCTCCCCTCGCCCCGCCCCCCCGCTTCCCCCTCCTCCCTCCCCCCTTCTACGTTTTCCCCATGGACCCTAGAGGAAGGCTGACGTGTGCACAAACAGATGTCACAAAAGCTGGAATGAAAGCATGCAATCACAGAAGACCAAAGAAGTCACAAACCCACACAACTCACCACTCTAATTTTTCTCATTGAAACTTCTTGTTCTTCCAAGTCCTACAAAGAAACAGTGTCTGTATGTACACACTCATGACATGATATTATATACACTGAACAGGGTTTCATACTGCATGCAGCAAAACTACGGACGCACATCTCACACAGAGCAAGGTCTAGCTTTTTTATCGTAGTAAATGCTGCTAAACAGTGCTGGACTCCTATAGAAGCTCCAACTGTGACCTACATATGATATGAGTACAGTATCATGCTGAGTGGAGAGGAGAGGATTTAAGAGTGACTCCCTGATATGTACTTCAGGCCAAAGCTAAACAGCAATGTTACATACATAGAGTTGCACTGGATCTAGGTATAAGAAAACTATATACTACTCCCATTGCAAACACAGTGCTTTGAAAGGTGTTAGCTGAATGGCTGATTGCACACTCAAGAGACATACTAGGAATGTGCATGCACATATTTTGCCTCGTGCTGCCCAATGGCTTCCAGTGTCCACGATAACAAGAAGCATCAGCAAAACAAAAACACCCGCAGAAATTCGACAAGGTGGAGTGGGAAGGACCACTCACCCTGGTTGCTACCTGTGCCGCTAACAGTCCCTGGAGGGCCAGACCGGTACGACTCGTCGTCGGATCCTGCAGAACCAGTTCTGGCTCCTGGAGGAGGACCTCGATCCCGGCACTTATCTCCGAGTCGGCCCCACCCCTCCCCTTGCCGTCCCCTGTGTGCTGACCACTCAGGTCCAGTCCCTGGGCCAGCTTCAGTCGCAGCGAATGCCCTGCTGCCTATGTACACACATGTTTATAATAATAGTATGTGAACTGGAATTTTGGTGGGTCAAATATTATTTGTCTGTCCCCCACTTAGTTATTATGGTTCATTGCACACATTAATCATTGTGGTGTCATGTAGGGAAATTTGAACTCTCCCAAACTGCTATATAATATTATACTCCGGTGTACAAGGGTTTGCATGTAGATTAGCTCAGCGCAGCAGAGCAAAGAGATAGTTTGGCATGCTGTTGGGGTGGTAGAAAAGATTCTAACTGGGATTGAGCTTGCACATACACTACTGGACTCATTAAAGACTGAGACCATTTTATAGTGTCGGAAACAGGAAGTACGTACAAATACACAATGTTCTAGGTGATGTTCTATGCAATGTTCACAAATCTAAGGTTTATCAATCACAGGCATAAAACTGAGTGCTCTCGCCTGTAGGTGTTCCGTCTGTGAGAGGAGAGAGATGACCTCCCTGAACTTGGGAAGACTGTCGGTGGTGGGGTGAGGGATGGAGGAGAGGAGAGACACGGCGTCTGTCAGGTGACTCTCTGACGACGACAGACGATGAGCAGCTGCAGTCACAAACACGTATGATGTTGCTCCGGGTATTGTTTCAATTGTTTGTCATACTTTACTTATGATTCATGTATATTAAGTACACAGCGGAACTCCTCTACATATATATAGAGCTCCTTGAGAGCTATTGGAGAAGTGCCCGTTTTTCAGTTCAACATGCCTCTGAGAGAGTTGTATATATAGTCACAGGCTCCTCCACTTATTACAATGTACATTTGGAGAGCGAGTGTGAGATTTGCAAATACACGCAGCATTGCGACTCCGCGTTACGAAGAACACTTTCGTATATATTATATACCACAACACTTTCGAGGTAGTAAAACTTTGTGAACTTTGGCTTTTTCAGAGCCAAACTGCCAAAAGGTTTCTCTATGGGATGTGGTTAAACTCCCAGACACTTCAATTAGGGCAGAGGAATGCATCAAATTTGTTTATTGTTACCACAGAGCTCCTTGAGGGTTATTGGAGAAATGTCTGTTTTCAGTACAACATGCCTCTGAGAGAGTTGTATAGTCACAGGCTCCTCCCACTTATTACTTGGAGAGTGAGTGCGAGATTTACACACACACGCAGCGTTGCGACTCCGTTACGAGTATTAAGATTAGTATTATTATGTTTACTCATTCAAGTTGGTGATTTTGTTTGCTGAACTTGATGCCCAAACCTAAATTTTTTTGTGGCCAATGTGGATAGCCATGAAATAAAGATTTCTGAATGCACAGCACTGATGTACATGTATTATTATACCATGTCTCTCTCTGAGGGCATGTACGGCACAGTGAGTGAGAACGGGCAGGACCAGCAGCCCCAGCTCAGCCGTCTTCAGGCCCGCCAGGTAGTGCAGCACCTTCTCTGCCTCCCTCGTGTCGTCAAACAGCTTCTTCTGCCGGTGGGCGGGGACCGGCTCGGCCACTGACCACACCTCCCACCACAACCCGCCCGGCTGCCGCATCCGGAGGCTCAGACGACCAGACACAAACTACAAATCATGAGCCAGAGCCAGAGAGATAAATAGTCATGTGTATACGAGTGTCACAGACTCACGCAATGAAGCGGCTTATATACTCTTGCACTGTGTTCACTATTGCAATAAAATCAGAGCTGTAGGGTCCTTGATGTGGTATGAGCATGCTCATAACCATTTCAGTAAGCAATGTGTATAACATGGCAGCTTTCTGTCATTGCCTACGATGTATAGTCTAGAGAGACTCATGCAACCAGACACACATACTATATAGCTGAACCAGGCAGAGGGTCATGTTTCAGCAATTATTAGGCATTTGTGACCCGCTCCGGGAAAACGTACCATTTGGCGCAAAAATTCAAAATTGCGTTACTCATATCGTTCGAAAGCTCAACGCACGCTGCATACGAGGAAGAAAACAGTACCTTCGTAGCTGCTTCCGTTTGAGCGCTATACGCAAAAACGCGTGCACCCCCATTCAGTACAGATCAATGAGGTTAGGCATCAACAAGAATTGGTACAGACTAGCTCTGGCAGCCACACACGAATTGTGGAAAACTGACTAAGATATGAGGATTTGCAAATCACTTGCTCAATTCTATAGGAAATGGTCAGATTATAAATGGCCCAAGAATACAGTTGAGCAGACATTGCTTCACCTTCTTTTTGGTGTGAGAAGCTGTTTCGTGTTCCTTTGATGAGTCTTTGTGCTGTTGGTCATTCCTGTCACTCTCTGAATCACCACCACTCCTCTCTCCCTCTCCGATGACACCCCACTCCCCACCTCCTCCCTCCTCCTCCTCCCACCCCTCCCCCTCTCCCTCGTCCACATCAAACTTGGACGCCGCTTTTGTTGGCCCTCCTTCCCCCCCTCCCTCTCCTCCCACCTCCATTTCTTCAACCTCTCCCTCCCCCTCTCCCTCCTCCCCCTCCTCCCAGTCACGAGGAGAGTACCATCTCACAAAGTCCTCCAGCTGACACCCTGGGTTCGCTGCCTACACAGGCATTCACACAACACATACACTCGTGTATGATCTAGGATATCACTGTACTAACGAGCATGCACAGGATGTGGCTCCGATTGTGAGATGGAAAATGCTATCAACTTCTGCAAATACTTTATGAAAGTATTTCTTGCAAATATTATATATGTTGGTTTCAGCACTTTATGTATGTCTATTCACGAAACTCATCATTTTGCATAGAGTGGTTGAAAAGGTTTTAGTAGTAAACATACACACCTTGAATGCTTGCATGTCTGACATGAGAGAGGAGCTCTGCATCTTGGCGCGGAGTCTGGTGGCCTCCTCGGAGGTCCCCAGTCGAGCCATCACTGCCTGCTGCTCCCACACGTGGTCCTCCGTCAGTGGAGGGTGCTCCTGGAAACATACACACACCACACATTCACACCCATTATACAACACACACCACATACACCCATTATACCACACACAAACACAAACCACATACATAAACACAGGTCCAAGGGGGAGGCAAAACAGACAAGGGATAGCAAAAGATGTATGCACATGCAGATTTTTTTCTTGGGGAAAATTAGTTGCGTAACAACATGCAAGGCTGGTAGCGGCAAAAATGTAATCTCTATCACTACTACATGAATGCTGATGTTGACCTGTGTGACGGGGATGTACATTGGTTCCCCAGTGGCAATGATGACCAGATCTCCACACTGTTGCAGTCGACCCATTCCCTCTCTTCCACTCCCTCCAACCACACCCGCTCTCCCTCCCTCACCCTCATCACCACCAACTGCCCCACCTACTGGCTCATCAGATCTGTCCTCGGTCTGCTGTTGTGATACAGAGTTCGTTTCTCCCTCCCCTTCCCCCTCCATTTTCCCCCTTGTCTCCTCTCCCTCCTTCTTCCCTTCTACTTTTCCTCCTGACCCCTTCTTCCTCTCCCTCTCCCCCTCCATTTTCTCCTCCTCTTCCCCTCCCCCCTCCTCCAACCCTCTCTCTCCGACTTGTGAAGAAGACGACACTGTAATGCCACCACTATCCTCCTCCTCCTCCGCATCGTGATCCTCAAGAGCTTCGAAAAACTCATCCTCAGATTGGTCCCCGCTACTCCTCCTTCCCTCCTCGTCCCTGCGGGACGGTCTCGAACCGGAACCTGAATTTGAGATTGGACGCGTCGGAACTGCACCATCTGACTGCGGACACATTCTCTCCCCTTCCCTCCCTGTACCACCTCCAGTAGAAGTGCCATTTCTTTCCATAGTAGTAGTGGTAGAGTTAGGAGGCATGCATTGTGATACAGAAGATCCGTGGTGTGTTTTTAACGCTGGAGACGGAGATTCGTTGGCGTATGGAGCGACGTGGTTTACTCTGGGTTGTTGTCGGTCGTGTTGCTGCTGCGCTTGCTGGTGCTTGATCTTGTGGAGTATGGAGCAGTTGAGCATCTGTAGTTTCTGGTGTAGGATGCAACACTTCATGTCGGGAGGACCTTCTGGAATACTAGGAGAAAGTAAACGGGTATTTGTAGCAGTAATTTTGAAAAACGCGTCAATAAATTGGTAATCTTGAGAATCAAGAAACTGATTCAAGGACCATAATTATTGCGGTTAGGTAAAAATATTTCAATGCGAGACTATCTATTGTTGGTTCTTCTACAAGTGTTGGCACGGGAAATGCAGTCGAAAATTTTCGGAAAAACATAGTGACCACGGCGTGATTCGAACACGCAACCTTCTGATCTGGAGTCAGACGCGCTACCATTGCGCCACGCAGTCATCCACGACACACTGACAGCGACTCTTGAATGACATGCGTGGTTAAACAAATGTGTATAGGCCCTCTTGTCACCAGCAGCCAACAAAGACACAGCCACTCTAGTTCGGTGGGGATAGTAAGCAAGCTAAAAAAGGCTACAGGTTATGAGAATAAAACTGTACAACATTAGCTAAACGTCCTTGTGTTTAGTAGGCACAAGTGGTTAACTCCATGGGTCATAAATAGCGAGCAGTTCAACATTTCGAGCGTGTTTTTGCACGCATTTAGAATCATGTATACATGTGCCGGTTCACCGCTACAGAGAGACATTTTATGTATGGAAAACCCCCGCATTCACACGACTAGGCGGGCTTCGCTTCGCTCGCCAATAACGTTTTTCAACCATAGCCCTCTGCACTCCATAGTTACTTTTAGTAAAGTGTATAGTGCCTGCATTTTTCCAAGTGTATGGTAGACTTACTGGGGGAGGGAAATGGCGTTCTCCCACCTGTACCTGAGCTCCAGTGTCACCTCGTGCCACACCTTACACATTGCCTTCACTCCTACATAACATAGATGGAGAAGAGGTGACTGCGATTATAAGGGTTTTGAAGAGGAAGAATTAAAAAAATTGCCGGGGAAAAGTTTACGAGGAGGTACAAATTACTGATAAGTATACACTGCAGAAGTATATAAACCTCTACAAACCACGAAAGTTTCTTTCTTTCCTGCCAACACAAGTCGGTGAAAAACACACAAAGTTGATAAAATTTTGTGTGGATTGCTAATCCTGCCATACAAAAATGACCCCGTCTTCAAAATTTACACAGAAACCGTCTCAGTTGGCCTTCAAACCAACAACATTTGCTCCCCCCTCAAAAATGATCCCGTCCTCAAAATTTACACAGAAACCGTCTCAGTTGGCCTTCAAACCAACAACATTTGCTCCCCCCTCAAAAATAACCCCGTCCTCAAAATTTACAAAGAAACCGTCTCAGTTGGCCTTCAAACCAACAACATTTGCTCCCCCCTCAAAAATAACCCCGTCCTCAAAATTTACACAGAAACCGTCTCAGTTGGCCTTCAAACCAACAACATTTGCTCCCCCCTCAAAAATGATCCCGTCCTCAAAATTTACACAGAAACCGTCTCAGTTGGCCTTCAAACCAACAACATTTGCTCCCCCCCTCAAAAATAACCCCGTCCTCAAAATTTACAAAGAAACCGTCTCAGTTGGCCTTCAAACCAACATCATTTGCTCCCCCCTCAAAAATTACCCCGTCCTCAAAATTTACACAGAAACCGTCTCAGTTGGCCTTCAAACCAACAACATTTGCTCCCCCCTCAAAAATAACCCCGTCCTCAAAATTTACACAGAAACCGTCTCAGTTGGCCTTCAAACCAACAACATTTGCTCCCCCCTAAAAAATGACCCCGTCCTCAAAATTTACAAAGAAACCGTTTCAGTTGGCCTTCAAACCAACAACATTTGCACCCCCTTCAAACGTTGCGTTACTCACCACACTCGGTGTTGACAATAGCCAGAGCCTTGGCCAGTCGACAGGTGAGACTGTCAAGAGGAGCCGACTTTAACTTCACCACCAAATCACTGTCTCCTGCATTACGTGATAATTACATCATAACATGACATCATTATTACATCATAGCACTGTGAGTTCAATACCTTGCGTGGTGGGGGACGGTGTTCTTTGGTTTGAATCGTACGCATCTGGGAAGAGGAACTGCAGGAGTTAATGCATAGATAAGAGAGATAAAGAGGATAAGTATTTACGCACACATGTACATATAAGCAGGGAGAGAGTGAAGGAAATACTATGTAACCTCTAAGAGAAGGGGAGGATGTACATACATACATACATAGAGTGTGAACTGTATATACAGTGGCTCATTGGTGCAATGTTTCTGGCCAAAAATATAATCCACGTTCATTCTGTCGGCTAAAAATAGGATATGAAAATTTCGTACATTCTTAGGCATCAGTGCGTTCATAGTTTTATCGCTGCAGAAACTATACGAGACCTTAACGACTGCCTCCAGGTCCTTTTCAGTGATGTTCTCCTCTGGAGTCCGTCCCAATTCCATCCTCTGAGTGGCCGTGTAGACCACGGACTGGAACAGGGGCGAGGCCAGCGTGGAACCAGGGCTCGTCAGTCTGTCCAGGGGCTTGGAATAGGACTCTGCTGTGACACCTACAGTTCATGGTAATATACTCTCTATAATTATGTAGATGAAAAATTACGGAGTGTGGGAATTGTTTGTCAAAGTTTCCTGAGGCATTTTTTGAGCAGGGACGTTATGTATTGCAACCCAGGAAAAATATCAATGGTTTGGAAACGTTTTCAGTGAAGGGACATTCTGTGTTGCGAATCACAAAGTTCTCTTTTGCCTTCAAATGTTTTCCCTTCAAAACGAGTCCTTAAGTTGCTATATAGTACTATCCAGTATGGAGCTACCACTCAGTTAGATGTATATAGTACTATCCAGTATGGAGCTACCACTCAGTTAGATGTATATTAATTTGCTTGTGAAAGGACCGTAGCACGCATTACAATGTACACCTAGAATAAAGAATAGGGGAGGTTGTATTGCTAAGATTTAATGTGCCATGCGAAATGTGGCACTACCACTCTCGCACGTGACTACATATGCCTTACTTTAACCTTCTTTCTTCAATCTCTCTCCGGACCCTGACTCAGTCTGACAAATCTTAACGGCGGTGCACACACAACAATGAGTTAGCTACGTCATTGAGTAAGGGTACACACGTGCTACAGAAGTACACACTTAAAGTACCAGAGAGCCTGATTCCAAGTGGCTGACCTGAAAACTCTTCGTCCCAGAGACTGGTCTTCCCCAGCATCTCAGCCACTGAGCCGTTGCGGAAACACAACTGATAGAAGTTGAGTAGCGTCTCAGCTGCAATAACAGAGAGGGGTGCAGCGGGGAGAAGATGTACAGTTAAAACCTCTTATAAAGGAAGCTCTGAATAAAGGATGCGTCTCTACAAAGGACACTCGTTTCGATGATCTGGTGCTTGTGTTTTTTAAAACAAATGTGTCAGTACATAAGGGTTAAATTTAGAAATGTTACTAAAGATAGAAACTAAACAACAGGTCCCAGTGCAAGTTCCATTTTCAGTACTTATATATACATCTATATATACTGCCATAGTATCCAGAATTTCGTACTAAGTGTGTTCTTTATAATGAGACTCCACTGTATAGAGACTATGCTGGTCACCAACCTACATGTTGCACGGCCCAACCCCTTCTCTCACCCAAGATGCAGCTGGCATTCTCAGTCAGGTGAAGAGTGACTGTCCACACTGAGGCATGGTTAGGGTTTAGGTCCCTGTGTGGAAGTACACACACATGACAGCGGGCTCATAATAGAATGCATGGACAATGCAGATTGACATGTCATCGCTGTATCTCTCGCCTATTAGTTTTACATGTCTTGGTGTTTGTTCATATTTTAGTCTTGATGTCAACATTCTGAATGGAGCAGTGTCATTTTTGTAAAAAAAGACGATGTTTTATCGTTACAAGAGCTTTTGTGTTTCTAAGGTGGTTTACATCATTGTGGAAGAGAGAACCATTGTATTATTGTCACTAAAGCACTGTGTGTACTGTAAATTCACCCAGTTGTGCAGTTGTGTCCTCTGGTTACGAGACTCTTATGGACGATGAAAGGTTCAGGTGGAGGGGAAAAGACTTACGAGAATGTTCCATTGTCTGTGACCAGTTCCTCTGTGAGTCTGGGCCAAATGGCTGAGAGATGCAGCTCCCTATAGTGTCAATAATCAATAGACATTCATATTATAGTAACAGCAATGGCTCTTAATGCCCGTCTTGTAGCTTGCCTATAATACTCGTAAACTTTTTTCAGGACACTGACACGTGGGAAATTTTCGAACTAAAAAAGATAATTTCGTTTACAAAGCTCGACACTTCCACTAATCTACACTACATAAGGTTAACACTAGCATAAGCAATAATTATGCATGATGATAGACTAATTTCGCTTCGTTTCGTCAGCTACTGTTGTATCGCCAAAACTATAATGCCCTACACAATATAGGCACAACTCGTAGTTCAAAGGAGTCAATAACTCTACGGTACTGACTTGACGGGATCAGTGAAGGCTCCCACACGAAGTTTCCCGAGGTACTCTCCGTCGAATCCCCTGTCTACGTCGACGAGAGGCTCCACTGGCCAGTCGTCCAGACTCCAGTGACGGAGAACGTAGAGGAACCTCACCGCCACCTGCACCGGCCCCATCTTCACTGTAGCCACCGAGCCCTAGATCAGTGTGGGGGGGGAGTGTGCATTTGTTGGCACGTGCGGTTGCATCAAGCTAGAGTAGATTTTAGACTCAACAATTACAACATTAAGAATAGGTATATTGCTTACGAGTACACAAGATCCCATCACCAACATATTCAGTGTTGCACTGACAGGTGAAGCAAATATCACACTAAATGATTTTTCCATGTCCAACCTTATCTTACAACTCTCATTCCACAATTTGTGTTCTACGAGCCTTCTTAGTTCCTGATACGGCGAGTCCACAGTCCAATGATTATAAGGAATATCCCACGTTTAACTCACTGTTAAAACTTTTGCTTTGCTTGTGGCTGTATACAACTAAGTACAGGGTCCAAACCAGCTAGCTACTGTGAAGTGGAAACGCTCTCTAAGGACACCCCTGAAATGAGGACAAATAATTTCCCCCCTAAGAGTAACAGTTCTTGCATGCAATTTAACCCCTGGACACCTCGTTAATACAGACAGCTTTCTTCCGCCCCATTGGTGTTCAGTTCACTGGATTTGGTAAACTGGAGATGGGGCAGTAAAGTCTCACAATCTTGGACTTGAAGATGTTGAGGAGACCAGAGAGATGGTTGAACTGAGCCGGGGCGTGTCTGAGGTGAGTTACACTGTAGTCGACTCTAACTCTGTCGCTGCCACACATCCCGACGTACACCAGTCTCCACGGCTGGTGGAGCTGAACAAACACTGGAGTGGTGCTGGGGAGGGACGGTACGGTTAATATACAAACGAAGTAGCTAACGTTATTCAGCTTTACGTGGCAAGAGTTGATGTACTGCGCTTTCAGATGTGTTGCTGATTAAGGTCCACGGACCAAAACGTGCAATTGGTGTTTGGTGAAGAAAATTTGCTACATATGTGAAGCTGAGTATAACGCTAGCTACTGAATTAACAATGCATCGTTATGGTTGTAAAGATGAAGATATGGGAAGAGGGGCAGGGGTGAGAGGAGGGAGAGAGAGAAGAAAACAGGTAAAAACCATAACCATTTTTATGGCTTATGTGGCTGGGCAGTAGAACAAGGGAGACAAAGAAGATGTGTGTGAGAGGAGGTAAATAAGTGGTGTAAGGGAGGGGGAAAGGAGGCAAGTACAGTGGCTCCAACTTATTCCGATGCAAAGCATAAGCCATAAACCATAACCAAGGCAGAGAGTAAGGTGTTTAGTGAGACCAGCCCTGTCTAATAAAGATGTCTGACAAAGCATGGAAAACCCTCGAGAGGGAGACAGGGCAAGTAGTAGAGAAGAAGAAGAAGGAGGAAGGTGAGAGGGAGGGAAGAGATTGGGTAGAGAGATCGAGCTATAAGAGAAGAGAGAGGGATAAAGGTGTATGTGTATGTATGTACCATCCAGTGTTGGTGATGGCGATGGACACAGAGCTGAGCATGAGGTTGGCCTGTGCCTGGCTGTGCAGAGACTCCGCCCCCTCAGTCGGACAAATCACCACAAACTGTGACAACCCATACCTGAAGAGGGGGAATTTTTACTACCATTGAAAACCTAGTGTTGCACAATATGCAGAAAAACAGCAATGACAAAGAACAAAAATTGCATTAACTTGGTGGGTTTGCTCTCGCATTGTGCTAAAATAGGCATCCAAGGAAGGCTATTCTTCGGAGATATTCTACATCAGTTATAGCCCCATGGAGAATGAGTCCCGATTGATACCATTGATTGCTAGTATATGAAATTGAGGAGCCCTGCGCCTTACTAAAATCCTGGGGAGAACCCTGCTGATAGAAACACACAATGACAAACCAACCATCTGGCCAGGTGATGGGCCCTGGGAGGGAAATCACGGCTACTGTCCATCATCTCACGGACAGCCGCTGGCCACTCTGCTGCAGCGGCTGGATCATGTGACACACCACGTGAATGTCACGTGACCAACATCACAGGCAGTGTACACAGAGAGATTGAAACGTACCGCCGTTCCCGAGCACTCCCTTCTCCCTCTGCCCTCCCTCCACCTCCAGAGTCACCACGAACTTCCGGCTGCTGTACCCAATTCGCTCCGTCTTGCGATGCTGGATGCCTCCTGACAGACTCTGGTGCACATGTAATGTATGTATATTCACATAGGAAGAGACACAATGGTGCAAACTGTTGTTTGCATATTGGCGAAGGCGATAAAGTAGCTACGTATATACATTTTACTCTGCCGTGTGTTTTGATGGTTTGGCCTTTCCTTTTGTTTCCTGTAGCTCTAGCTATCTATAGCTATGTGCATTCAGTGCCAATAGTAAGCTGTGTGTTCTACAAACAAGAATGCACGCATAAAATGTGTATATGCATGTATATGTTACAGGGTGAGAAATTAGCGGAATTGCTACAACAATGCTCTGAATGGGTACACATGCTGAAATAATGTGCATGGCCACCCATTGAGGTCTGATCCATTAACAACAGTGTAGGCCAAAGAATCCGCCTGCAGCTAGTCTGCTTTCTGCGCTACATAGATACTGATTACGAAAACTCGCCAGATATGCTGACATAAGTACTGTACTGAAAGTGAGTTGAAGTACACACCTGTTCATAGTCGGGTCGGGCGAGCTCCCACTGACGAAACAGGCCCTCGAGATCAGCTATGAAACTGTGTGTATTCAGAGGTTGAGTGAGTCAACGTGCAGGAATAATTCAAGTTGTTGGATGTATATTGTACCTCTCCCACGGACTGGCGTTTGTGAAGTCTGTAATCTCAAATATACCAGCATCTCCGCCGCTGCTGGCGGCGTCACCTTCTTGCTCCGAGACTTGCTCCATTGGAGCCACGATTTTTCTTTTCAAAATTACTTACGTCCTCGCTTCGCATAATTAGACTGAACTTTCACCCCTGCGCTGTAGACTTTTGCCGACACCAAACGACCCAGCTAGCTATCCACCTGCTTCGACAACTCTTGCACAGAGATGCCGCCCAAGAAGCAGAGCGCACCGAACAAGAAGACCGTCGAGAAGAAGAAAGATAAAGTGATAGAGGTAAAACAGTGGACTGAGCGTCAAAGGGTTAAAATTAGCACCACGTGGGACTGCGTGTGCTCTATGAGGGGTTCATGCAATTGGTACACTGTATCGCTCTACTCCTCACATCCCTAACGCTGTCTATAGTCCATTCATGCTGGGAATGCATGTTGCACAGTGCTTGGTACCATTTTGTAGCTCCCGTTCGTTTGGTCTTGGTTTGGTACAAATCCAATGCATAGTTTTTGTGTGACATTAGAAAAATCAATATAATATTATGGCAAAATGCATTCTGACCTTGAACACACTATAGTAATCCCCTCACGCCTGTGGAAGGGATTTGGACACAGCATCTGGTCCAGTAGCAGAGAAAGCTGGCGCACAATCAGCAGTTCTAAGCTGTTCGGGCATGTGGCTGTAAAAATCAATGAAGTATGTAGCTCCGAGAGGAGGGGCGTTTCAAGGAATTCCTATATGTATACTGCCCTAGTGTGTACCATGGAGATACTCACAGCCTGCTCGCCAAAGTCTGTGTGCAATTAGCTATTCTTGACCAAGTGATGAATAAGAGTTGGTTGACTGGGTTGCATGAGTGAGCATGCAGCTCTGCAACTCACGTGATTGAATTATGCACAACCTCCTCCGGTCCATTAGAGTACGGCCATTTGAAATACTCAAATATGATTGGTCAAGCAGGAGAAAGCTAGTCCACGTAATTTACTCGTTGTCCAATGTGGGCCCGTTTCCAGCACAGAACACATTATTGAAGCAGACACACATAACACTGAAAGATAAAACTACTCATTTCATGTTGACGATCTGTACCTTCTCCATCTGTCTCTCTCCGGTATAACGGTAATGACACATGTGTTGTGCACCGTTTTAATAATGCATACACTCTGTTATAGGATAAGACGTTTGGTCTCAAGAACAAGAAGGGGAAGAAACAGCAGCAGTTTGTCAAGCAGGTCACCAATCAGGTCAAGTATGGCGGGGCCACCAGCGTTCAGAAGGTATGTAGTATAGACAAAACCTGTAGCTAACCTGTCTCATTACCCTTTTCAACATTTTCATTGCAGAGGGAAGAGCTGGAACGGAAAGAGAAGGCGAGTATGATCATTATTCACTAAAATACGGTAGAACAACAACACCCTATAATGCTAGAACCTCTGCTTCTTTTCTTTTCCAAGAAAAGCTCTTGCATCAATTTTAATTTTAACTCTAATAAACCCTTTGCTGTTACGATCCACTGACATTAAAGTGAATGTGTCAGAGCTGAATTTAGAAATGTTACTAAAGATGGCACCAGTGAAAGAATGCAATTTTTAGTAACAGTATCCAAATTTAGCCCTTATAATATACTGCAACATTGCCTTTAAGCTCTGCTTGTGTATACCTCACTTATATGGACAATTTTCTTTTGGTGTCCTGCCGTTTTATAGCGTGCATGTCTAATGTTGATGTCATCTTGGCACCTCCCCTCTCCTCTTCCTTTTCCTCCCAGGCATTCTTGGTGTTCAACCTTACATAATATGTACATACACTTTGAAGGAATGAATTTTACAATTGCAAAAATTAAACTTGATAGTGTGTTCATAGGTCTCCATGTTACATGTTGTGTTTACGCATGTGAAAACTACGAGGTAGAAAGGCAAAGTCACAACAAGCAAATCAACTACACCCAGGACAGCTCTTTGTTCCCAAGGAAAAAAGAAGAGCTGTCCTGGGTGGGATTTTAACCTACGACACTCTGCAGTCTAGGCGAGCGCTCTGCCAGCTGAGCTACCAGGGCAACTCAGCTGGTAGGGGTTCAAATCTTCAACACAACACAACACAAGGCAAATCTTGTACAACAAATGAACTGCAATTCCATCTGCTAACCACAGCAAAAGAAGGAGGATGAGAGGCGCGAGAAGGCGGAGATTGACTCTCTGCTGCGACCGGCCCAGCCCCTGCAGAAAGTGTCGGCCGGTGCGGACCCAAAGAGTGTCCTGTGTCTGTTCTTCAAGCAAGGCCAGTGCAAGAAGGGAGACAAGTGCAAGTTCTCCCACGATCTGACTCTCGAGGGAAAGTCCGAGAAGAGGAGTATGTATGTGGACAAGAGAGATCTGGAGGAAGGTAGGGTGGACGTAATATCTATAGATCTGTTTTTTTTACAATTTGCGAGTTGAAATTGTCATTTTTAGGTCTAACAAAGGTGATTAAATGTGCGAATTCTCTCATAGACTGGTTTATGGTGTTTTCACACTACATAATTATACTGTCGTACTGTTGTGTTTTGAGACAGACAGTATGTGGGTCTCTAATAATACACTGTAGGTAGCAATTTTTGCCGTTCAAATTACATTTTTTGTGTAGCAAAAGGGCACATTGTGTGTATATACCAATTCTTTTAGATACCTTTGAAATTCCTGTGCATTCACTACAACAATGTACACTCTACAGTGGTTATATACTGGGCTCTCTTTTATACGTGATGTGTGTGTGTGTGTGTGTGTGTGTGTGTGTGTTTGGTACAGACACCATTGACAAGTGGGATGAAGAGAAGTTGAAGGAAGTGGTGCAGAAAAAGCACGGGGGAAAGACAAAGCAAAAGACTGACATTGTGAGTTGTCACTCAGCAAATAAAAATGCACTGTGACCGTGTACACCTTAACCAGCTATTTGTCTTTCCTTTCCCTCCTCTCTCTCCCTCCTCTCTCTCCCTTCCCTCTCTCCCTTCCCTCTCTCCCTCCCATCTCTCCCTTCCCTCTCTCCCTCCCCTCTCTCCCCTCTCTCCCTCCCTCTCTCCCTCCCCTCTCTCCATCCCCTCTCTCCCTCCCCACTCTCCCTCCCCTCCCTCCCCTCCCTCCCTTCCCTCTCTCCCTTCCCTCTCTCCCTCCCCTCTCTCCCTCCCCCCTCTCTCCCTCCTCTCTTTTCCTCCCCTCTCTCCCTCCCCCCTCTCTCCCTCCCCTCTCTCCTCTACATGTGTATGTGTATCAAGGTCTGCAAGCATTTTCTCCATGCGGTAGAGAAAGGCATCTACGGCTGGTTCTGGGAGTGTCCAAACAGCGAGCGCTGCATCTACCGCCACGCCCTCCCTCCCGGGTTCGTCTTCAAGAAGATGGGTAGTCAGACTAATGATGCAGTGGAGGAGACCATCACGATAGAGGAACTGGTGGAGAATGATGTGAGTGGGTGTTTGATACTCTATGCAAGGAAGATTTAGCCAGTTTCAGAGAGGCAACAATGTATATACTATGATGAAAGTGTAACAAGGCTTGGAGTGTCAAGTATACGTCAATGCAAGTACAAAGCAAACCAACTAACGACACGTTTTACCATTGGAAAAAAACTGCCCTGGGTGAGACTCGAATCCACGACACATGCAATGCATTACTGGAAAGCTAACAGGAGTCCGAAATTTAGCAGCTTGCGTGTAAAACATTATAAATACAAAATTTCAGTGATTTCCCCCGTAATTATAGCGTGTGACAACGCTGTATGTGTAGAAAGTCGATAATTCAAACTACAAGGTAGACTCGCTTAGATTGCCACTTTGTAGCAGTATGGGGTCTAGTAGTAAAGTGAGGTGCTGTTGCCTTTACAATGAAAAGCACTAAAGTGCAAACCCTTGGCGAACTGTGCATGCGCGGTACCACTAATTGATGGGCTGGGCTATTTGTAGTATGCGTTCACTCGTGGTCTCCCGGAGAGTCTGACACGGGCTAGGTATAGTAGTAGATAGCATGTGGAAGTCGATACACGCCCTTCGTTGTGACTTCATGTGCCTTCAAGATACACAGAGCAAGCGGTCCCGGTCGAGGTAAGCCTGTGCTAATTAGCATATTGGCTTGTTCACTTGGTTTTCAAGCCATAGCTTCTGAACGCGGCACTTTTACGAAAATCGCCATTTGAAAAATCAAGCCAGTGTAGCGCTGAACCCGTTGGTGTCGCTATTTTACCTGTTTGTTGTGCGTGGTGGCAGAAAACGTGGTAACAGACGGACAGACAGACAGACAGACGGACAGACGGACAAACCAAGTACTGTAACCCTCGCTGCGTATGCGCGCCGACGGTTAATTACGAATTCGGCTGTGTGTGTGTTATTCTTGGCAAATCCATGCAAATCAATCGTGTTTTCCTAATAATAAGACTAACAGTACTGCGTATAGAACATTAACAATACCCACAGAGGCAGCAGCTAGCCATGTCGGGGAAAAACCTGACTCCAGTGACGTTAGACAGTTTCAAGGCCTGGAAGGAGAGAAAGGTGAGGCTTCACTCCATCTGACTGTGTGTAAACCTTCTGAACTCACACTTCCCTCTCTGCAGCTAAAGGAGAAGAAGGACAAGCTGGACGCTTCCGCCACGAAGAAGAAGGAAGCATTCGTTGCTGGTCGGACTCACGGGGTATGATAGAATTCTGTGAATGAGTCTGTGTTGTGAAAAAAACAGGGTGCTATTCCAAAGCATGAACCTTCAGTACCAGTAAAGGTTTTTTCTGCATACATGGTTTGGTGTTTCTAGAAAAGGTATCCACTGAGTTTTATAGTTTTTGTGTGGTGCACCCTATACAATCATGGTCTGCAGTGTTATGTAATGTTGTACAGTTAAGCTATAGAATAAAGTGTTGCTTTGCCTTTAGCCATAAGCTGGATCTTCTCCCATTTCTCTCTCTCTCTCTCTTCTACAAGGTTTTCCTTAACTCCTTCCCTCCCTCACACACTCCAGACTGAGGCAATGAAAAGCTGACATCACTTCCTGTTTGTGGCATGCATCCCTCTCACTCACTCCCTCCCTCATCCCGCTCCCTCACTCCCTCCCTCATCCTGTCATCACGCATATTCTCCCTCCTATGCACTACTCCTCCTCCTCACTCCTCACTCAATCATCCTCACTCCTTCCTCCCTCATCCGTCACTCTCACTACTCCCTCCCTCCCTCACTCCGTCCTCACTTCACTCACTCACTCCCTCCCTCCCCTCACTCCTTCACTCACTCACTCTCACTCCCCTCCCTCCCTCACTCCTTCACTCACTCCCTCCCGCCCTCCCTCCCTCCTCCTTCACTCACTCACTCACTCACTCCTTCCTCCCTCACTCCTTCACTCACTCACTCACTCACTCCCTTCCTCCCTCAGATCAGTGGACGTGAGATGTTTGAATTCAACCCAGACCTGGTACAGGGAGACGACCAGGAGGCCGGGGAGGACACCGTGCTCTACTCTCTCAGGGAGGAGGATGGGGAGGGAGGTGGGAGGGAGGTGGGTGAGGAGGAGGAGGAGGGAGGGGAGGATATCACTGAAATGGTGGGGTATTTGGATGAGGTCGTCGCTCCGCCACCACCTCCTGTTCAATCCAGTGTTGCTGGCTCTAGCAGACAGGCTGAGGCCGCCTCAGGTATATATAATAATAAATATTATGTGGAGTACATACAATTTGAGCTGAGCAAGCACAAGTAAACCTGATCATTTCTGTGTTCATCACACAGTGTGGTAAATTGTGTGTTGGAGAGTATAATACACGCATGCGCACCGCTGTATTGATGCGGTTGGGCCACGCAACGCTGTCCGCGACCGTTGCCAGTTTGTCGCTCTTGAACGCAGTCGTTGTCAGCAAAATCGCCCACATTTTAGTTGTCTAGCCATGTACCGCATAAAGCTGTAGGAATCGCTCATAAGACGCCTCGTGCCTGTAGTGCGAGAATAGTCGTAGGCAGCACACACAGACAGACACAAGAACGACTACCGTACACCCTCGCTGCGCATGCGCGCCGAGGGTTAATGAGCACAATGAGTTTGCTGCAGTGTCTGTGCACGTGATTCCCTGGATGCATAACTTTAGTGGATAGGTCTGAATCCGTGACAATTTCTCCATGAAGAAGAGAAATGTTTACCTTACGGCTTTGGAGCTTTCTGGTACATGAAAGGTGCTACAATTGGAAACCCTCTACACAAAAGGTGTATGCTCAGACTTGGTAGTAGCAGCCTAGCCAAGGGTTAATTCAAGGCAAGCTGCCTGATAATCATTTGTCAAGAGATTATGACATCTGTCATTGGATAATGGAGATTATGACATCTGTCATTGAATAGTGGTCCTGGATCCAGAGCCAGGGAAAGAGATAGAAGTTTGTTCTTGTCTGAATTTGTGTGTCCACTCTATTCCAAGGGGGAGCAACTGAGTGGGAAATGTATTTGCCACAAATTGTTAGAGTGCTGCTCCCTCATTGGTGGATCTTATGACGGTATTCTTAGTGGTCAGCAGGTATAGAGCCTAAAATGGCAATGTTTAGACAAATCTACTCCCATAGTACTTCCTGCTCTAACTAAGCTCACCCTTGTGCTTATAGTTGCCTATGGCAGAGTATTCTGGTTCAGCAGAGAAAGCTCTTGATAAACTGAACGACCAGTTGACTTGTCCAATATGTCTGGACCAGTACAAAGACCCAAAACTGCTCCAATGCTTCCATGTCTTCTGTGAGAAGTGTCTGGAGCCTGTGGCACGTCAGACCCCACAGGGAGGACAGGTGGTGGAGTGCCCCAACTGTCGCCACATCACCACTCTGCCCCAGGAAGGAGTCTCTGGCCTACGGGGAGCCTTCCTCATCCACCACCTCTTTGACATCCAAGACATCCTCAAGAAAGTCGGTACCCCATCCGGCACCAAATGCGCCAAGTGCGAAAAGCGAGACCCGACTTGTTTCTGTCGGTCCTGTGGGTTCCTCTGTGACACCTGCAAGAAGCCCCATTGCGAATGGAAAGATTTTCCTCCCACGAGCTAGTCAGCCTGGACCAGCTGACAGAAGACGTGACTAATCTGGTGCTCCGCTCCAGAAGACTCTGAACTGCTCCAAACACCCGACCCAAAGAGCTAGACCTCTACTGTGAGACTTGTAAGGAGGTCATCTGTCGAGACTGCATCGTCAGGCTCCATCGCGACCACCAGTACGATCTGGTGAGCGACGTGTTCCAACAACAGAAGGAAGTGCTGGTGTCCTCAGTTGAGCCAGCAGAGCAGCAGCTAGCCTCAGTCGGGAAGGCTCTGGAGGACCTCAAGTCTCTGTCTGGGAAAATCACCGGCCAACAGCAGGCCTGGAGACCCACTCAGGGCAGAAATTCGCCTCGGTCACCAAGCTCTTGAGGCGAGGGAAGAGGTCCTTATTACACAGCTGGACCAGATGACTCGGGAGAAGTTGAAGAATTTAGCCGCCCAGCAAGAGCAGTTGGAGCTAGTTGCCACTCGTTTGCAAAGCTGCTGCGGGTTCTTCCGGGAGACCCTGAGAACTGGCAGCCAGATAGAGGTCTTGGCCATGGCAAAGCCGTCTGTGCAGCAAGTTCGAGATGTGATGTCTTCTCTCACGCCGGAGTCTCTAGTACCCCAAGAAAAAGCCGACCTAGACTTTGCCAGCAGTCAACGTGAGCTTGTTCAGATTTGCAAACAGTTTGGGGAGGTTTATAACTCCACCATTTGCCCTCCCAAATGTATTGCTGAAGGTGTGGGGCTTCGGTTTGCAGTGGTGGGAGAATTAGCCGTAGCCACATTAAAAATGGTGGGCCAGAAAGGGCGAGAATATCGGCATCCAGTGGAAGTGAGTTTGGCAGTCGTGTCGAGTGATGGGTCCACCGGGGGAGGGGAGAGCAAGAGGATGGGGGGTAGCCGGTACGTGATAGGATACCTCCCCTGGCATGGAGGACTAAACTACCTCCACATCAGAGTAGAGGGCGAGCACATCTCGGGAAGTCCGTTCCCTGTCTCTGTCATCACCGATACACCCACTATCATCGCCGGTGTCACTCGACCGTGGGGATCAGCTCTAGACAAGGACGATCAGTTAGTTGTATCGGAATTTGGCAAGCACTGCCTGTCGGTGTTTAGCAGCGATGGGCGACAGAAGAAATCGTTTGGCACCTTTGGGTCTGGTCCTGGACAGCTGAATCATCCATGTGGCGTGGCTTTCTCTGCCACAGGAGATATTCTTGTGGCTGACCAATTCAATCATCGTATCCAGGTTTTCTCCCCCGAGGGAAAGTCAGTGAAGTGTGTGGGCACTAAAGGCAATGGACGGCTACAGTTCAACTGCCCGGTTGGTATTACCGTTCATCCTGGCTCTAAGAAGCTGTATGTTGCCGATTCCGATAATAACAGAGTCCATGTCCGCAATGCAGACCTGACGTTTTGCAGCACTTTTGGTTCGGAGGGAGTAGGCAATGGACAGTTCAATAATCCACTTGGAGTCGGTTTCGATGCTGCTGGCAACTTGTACGTCACTGATTCTGACAACCACAGGGTGCAAGTGTTCACGGAAAACGGAGAGTATATTCGACAGTTTGGGAAGGAGGGAAGCAGTGCGGGGGAACTTTGTAAGCCCAGGGGAGTGGCAATAGACTCCAACAACATAGTCTACGTAGGCGACTTTGGCAACCATCGCATCTCGATATTTTCTGGAGAGGGAGAGTTTCTGGGAATAGGTGGTGATCGTGGGAGTGGGCCAGGACAGTTTAAGTGCCCAAGTGGAGTAACCATTTCAAGCCACGGATGCATCTACGTTAGTGACCGTGGAAATAATCGCATTCAGGTGTTTTGACACTTCTTTAGACAGGAAAGAATTACCCAAGCAGCACCTGAAAAAACCCTGTATGGGCAGTGTGTATATTTATTATGTATATTGCATTGTAGTAGTTAACCCTCGGCGCGCATGCGCAGCGAGGGTTACAGTACTTGGGTCTGTCTGTCTGTCTGTCCGTTACTCTCAATCTCACTTCTCGGGTGTTTGTTCGTCTCACAAAGGATACCACCTACTGAACGGGCAATGAAGGTCAGAAAATATGTGTGGTTTTCGCTGAAAACGCTCCGTTGCAAGCTGTAGAGCGCGGAAAAAGCCAATATGCAAATACACAACGGCTTACTACGGCATGATCGATCCGCGTGCTCTGCGTACCTCGGAGGCACCAGAAGATGCACGAAGGGCGTGTATCGCCTCTCGCATGCTACTAGTAGTGTAGTTAGCCCGCGTCAGACTCTGCGCGAGCTGGCAAGAGACCACGGGGTAACAGCTAAAACTAACCCAGCCCAGCAATAGTAGTACGGCGCATGCATTTACTTACGCGTGCGCGTCACTCAGTGCGCCGAGGGTTTGCACTTCAGTGCTTTTCATTGGTCTATGAGTGAGCTGTCTAAATAATTTGAACTCCTGTACTCTACTTTGATGTGTTGCAACAATGAGGTTCTTTGCTCAGTTTACCAAATAAAGGTCGGCGAAAGAGAAAAAGGGTTATTTGTAGTTCAATACTCAGTACGCTATAAGGGAACAGGGCCGGGGTCAGATTTATATGACGTAGTATGGCCAACAACAAACAATTTCTGTCAGCAAGTGATATGCAAACAAATTCTTCCCTTGATTTTATGTTCATCCACAATGTTGCACTTGGCACACATAGATGTGTGCACACGTAGTGGTATCCACATCGTCCTGCATTTATTCTCATTATGTTCGTACGTACATGTGCCTGAGTGTGGGGCACACTCCATGCCTCCCAGACTTAACTGCTAAACACGTGCCCACATCTCGCAAAATTACACTCTGTGTACACTCTGTGTTTAAACGAGAAATGACACCTTGTTGGGCATGCACCACTGCCACGATGTGATTCTCAGTACGACTTTCACATTATGTTAAAGTAGACCTGATCACTGGCTCACATAGTATTAAACAAATGTGTCTGAACACGAGTAGTTTCATTTTTCACGCGCGTATTTTAAGAACATTATGTGCACTGCCAGTGCCCGTCACATATAAAATATTATGTAAATAAAAATTTCCGCATTGAGACTAGGTATCTATTGGGCTCTATTTTACAGCAACGAGAGAAAGTGGAGGAGCAGTGGGCGGAGTCAGTGAAGAGACCAATCACATGACAGGAAGTGATGCGACGGGAGGAAGGGAGGAAGTAGAGGAGGAAGAGGAGGAGGAGGAGGAGGAGGAGGAGGAAGTGCCAATTGACGAAGACCTGTTTGCAGCTGAAGAGCTAGAGAATCTGAACTTGGAAGACATGGTAGACCTAGAACCCAGTGGAGTAGACTGACGTAGGTGGTCGCTCTATTCCGTACATGTGCTGTGTTTTTGCTGTACTTGCCATGCTCGTCCATAGGGTTGATTTCATGTTTCACGCTAAACAAACTGGTCAAGGTCAAAGGTGGCAAAATGTTATACATTGCATGGTGAAGAAGAGAAAGTTCTATTCATTGGGGAAATTCTAGAATATTCTCTGTTCCTCCACTTTTTGCGGACTGTATCTTCTGTACCTATTCGATTCTCACTTTGCGAACGCTGTAATCTGTTGCTGCGATGGTCGTTGTCTCTTACGCTGACTATTTTTCAATTGTAACCTTTGTCAAAATGCCAATTTAATGTCTCCAAACTGATTAAAAGTAGAGAAGAATATTCACAATTTTAAAGGGTTCAAAGTCGATGCTGAGTTCCCCAGACCAGGCCTCCAATGCTCCTGTGCCGTCCTCCAGCAAATTGCACCTGTATAATTATGGGAATAGTTTATAGTCTCCTACTGCACTGAGTCCACTACACAGCAATTATAACTGCCAACTTCTCTGGAGTAGCTTCCAGGACACAGTTTTTTTGTGTGGAGTGTCAAATTCTCTTTCTGGCCAAAACGTTATATGCTCAAGCTCTTCGGGCCAGCGCTTACATGCGTACACTGACAGGGACTGATTAGGAAAGTCACATACTTGTTATCTCAATCTCCATCCCCAGCCAACTAAGTACACGTGGCATGGAAGGAAGCTTGTTCCCATGACTGCTGGCAGCTATATACTACGGTTCATACATATATACCTCTGAGAAGCTTTGAAGGGCAGTGTGCTAGTGAGAGTGGTACTTGTCTGACTCCCAAAGGCCTCATACAGCCTTACTACAATAGCCTTAGTAGAGCTTACTAACTCCACCTGTTGGGGTAAGTGCAAAATATATGGGAGCTATGAGATCACAATCCACTCACTGTTTTCACTGTCTCCAGGATTATTGCTGGATTGTCAGTGGTGAAAAATGACACTGGATCACCTAAGTTTACATTGAGTACATAAAGAGATCTCGCTCTGACCTTATGTATATACATCCCCCCACCCCATCTCGCTTGAAAATCTCATCTTTTGTCTATCTCGCTGCAAACTTTCACCTTTCCCCCTTATCTCGCTCAGACCTTTCATATTTTCCCCATCTCTCTCCAAACTTTCGTTTTTCCCCCTATCTTGCTCGAAATTTCATATTTCCCCCTATCTCGCTCCTTCTTTGCTTATGTAACCCCGGTACCTCGCCAGTATATAGCGCTTGCGTCACCCCTGGCTTCTACCAGCTAGGGTCTTTTTCTCTTTCGTACAGTACGAGTATCAGCACAACTGCCATTAGACTTGGCTAGTGCTAGACTGGTCCCATGTGGGCTCTCTATGCTACTTTATTATAGAGTACGCATGCGTATATAGTGTCTCGGTCTTTACACTTTTATATATCTCGCCTATTTCCCTCGACCTTGGTATATTATACCCGTGTTAACTTGAGCACTGATTTTAGTGCTACTTACCAAAAAGTGTGGAGCTGGTAACCGAAAGAGGGTGGTTCAGATTGTAGCTCTCATGTATAACTCCAGCTTCTTGAAATGCCCCTGTGCACATTGTACGAGTATACAATACCATCACGTTTAGTCAGTAAAATAATACCATGGTGTGGCATAATGGCATAGGTGAAATGATGGGTGCCCATATCGGCTGTAGCATCTGGAGCTTTGGGGGCTCGCAACCTGCAGTGTTAGAGTTCACTGTTTGAAAAATTAAATGCTAGAGCACTCTTTGATATCCCTCACAAGGAGAGCCTCATGATGTTGCCCAGTGTAGAGTGGCCGTACTTGCAGTCATTCAGTACGGCCACTCCAAACCCATGCTCTGACAAGTCAGCCCATTTCTGGGCGCAAACCTGCAACGAACGGAAGGAAACACAGTATAACAGGCACTGTCTAGTGGATCAGCTGACTTCAAAGCGAGCCTGATCCCACGAGGTGTTGAAGTGAGTGGGCCTTTGCAGGTGTCCAAACTGAATTTCATAGGTGGCCTCGTGGCTGCGAACGTTCAGAGGAAACTCTATCTTCAAGAACTTGCGGTTCTCATGCCACTCAACCTGAGATGCCACAGAGAGCACCAGTCATGCATGCAGTTGACTTGTTTGTTGTGCCTTTGCCCTTCTACCTTGTAGTTGATTACATGGAACAAGATGTGTAGTGATGCAAGAAAGTGAAGAAAAAATGGCTAAAAGGGTTCACCTACCATAAGTCATACAAGCATGACATAACACTGTATGCACACCTGGATGAGAGCTAGGCCTTGAGAACTGGGGTGGTGAGTTTAAGTGTACCACCTCTCCCCACACACCCTGTTTCCTTGTGTATATATGTACATACAGTTCAGCAGTTGAATAGCTATAGACTGACAGTGGTCTCATAGGGACAGAGACAGTGGTCTCAAATGGTGGGTATGGACAGACTCACAGTGGTCTCAATGGTGGTAGGACAGACTCACAGTGGTCTCAAATGGTAGGGTATGGACAGACTCACAGTGGTCTCAAATGGTGGGTATGGACAGACTCACAGTGGTCTCAATGGTAGGTACTGGTAGGTATGGACAGACTCACAGTGGTCTCAAATGGTGGGTATGGACAGACTCACAGTGGTCTCAAATGGTAGGTATGGACAGACTCACGGTGGTCTCAAATGGTAGGTATGGACAGACTCACAGTGGTCTCAAATGGTAGGTATGGACAGACTCACAGTGGTCTCAAATGGTAGGTATGGACAGACTCACAGTGGTCTCAAATGGTAGGTATGGACAGACTCACAGTGGTCTCAAATGGTAGGTACGGACAGACTCACAGTGGTCTCAACAGACAGACTCACAGTGGTCTCAAATGGTAGGTATGGACAGACTCACAGTGGTCTCAAATGGTAGGTATGGACAGACTCACAGTGGTCTCAAATGGTAGGTATGGACAGACTCACAGTGGTCTCAAATGGTAGGTATGGACAGACTCACAGTGGTCTCAAATGGTAGGTATGGACAGACTCACAGTTGTCTCAAATGGTAGGTACGGACAGACTCACGGTGGTCTCAAATGGTAGGTTAGGACAGACTCACAGTGGTCTCAAATGGGAGGTATGCAGACCACGTGTCTCAATGGTAGGTATGGACAGACTCACGGTGGTCTCAAATGGTAGGTACAGACAACAGACTCACGTTGGTCTCAAATCGTAGGTACGGACAGTCGGCATCCAGAATGATATGCTGCAAGATGTGACTGTGTGAACTGATGGGAACCTTCACCTGTGAATTGGAGAATGTTGGTTTCTCAATGACTGTCAACAGTACAGTTGCTATAGTGCACAATCCAGCATCCGAAACTCTTCAGCATAGTAAACAGTACGGCTGGCATTATTTGCGAAAATTATCCTGCTTTTTAATTCTGAGTTGTAAATGAGGTACCGGTAGCATAGTAGCTTGGCATTTGCAAGCCTATACGACATGTATGTACTATATATATACCTGGACAGAGGCTCTGAGAGGACCACGTTCTAGAACACTCACACCTCCACCGGGCACTGACAGTGGCTCTCTGGACATCAACAGCAGAAACCATTAGTCATTACTGCACTAGTTGTTATAACACTGAGAGAGACGGGTCTCCAGATGGTACTCCATCACATCCCATGCGTCCCAGAACAGAGGCACATCGTCAAACATCACAAACTTACTCCCACTAGACTTTGGTGCAATTGATTCCCTGGGAAATCCAGAATTACTCAATAGCAATCATAAGTTACAGTGCAAGGCAAACAAATCATCAACAACCGGGACAACAGTTATTCCAGGAAGCCTGGGTGGGACTCGAAACTACACACCCTGCAATCTAGACAGAGTGCTCTACCACCTGAGCTACCAGGGAAACTCGGCTGGTAGGGGCTCAAATCTACTATACAACACCTGAGCTACAGCTTAGCTGCAGGGCTCAAATCTACTATACAACACCTGAGCTACAGCATAGCTGCAGGGCTCAAATCTACTATACAACACAATACGCAGACCCCAAATTACGTACTCTGTGTGGGGCACAGGAATTAGCTTACAGGAGCGGGCCACGTATGGATGGCTATACCTCTCAGTTCCGCTGTGTTTGAGTACAGTGAAGTTAGGACTCCAGTCTTCAGTGTGGCTCTCAGGTGCACATTTTCCAGTATGATTATATCCCCATCTGGCCCCTGCACCAATAGAGGCCATGCAATACTATATTATACTTCACCTAACAGATTAACCTCAGCGAGTGTGACTGGAGCCTGTGGCTGGCAGATCTCCAGGGCTTGAAACCCAAAAGGAACACAATCAACCAAGGCTGTAGGATGAACCTTATTGTAACACCACAGAGGAACAGTTGCACATTCTATCGACCTATCTGGGTTTGGACCTGCAGAATCTGTGCGCCGTTTAACTTGGCTTTCTTGGCCTCAGGTTCCTGGGCAAGCTGCTGTGGAAGGCTAACAATTTTCTCGCTTCTCCCAACCAAATGAGTTGACTACTAGACAAGTTTCTCCCATCTGATCGTGATCTCGATTCTTCCATACCTGTTCGGAAGCAATACTGCCTTCGTATATATGCAATCTCAACAAATATGCGTTCAATGTGTGTTCACCTTGTTAATTACGGCATCGAGCTTAGACCTTAATACAGAATTCGCTCCATCTTTTATCTCTGTGTAAAGAGCCAAGACGATCAGGAAAGATAAAATGTATAGCTACGTACCTTTATAGTAGGCAAGTGAATCTTTCACAACCTATATATAATAAAACATGATACTACTACCAAAAGGCATAAACGTTACATGGACCTGCTCAATACAGCTACCAGGAAGAACGTCGTGGAATTGGTTGAGCAGAAACTTTCTTCCACAGAGGACGGAGACGGTCTCGAGTGGACTTGGCAGACTCAACACCTCGGTTTACTGTGGAACGAGGGGGGACACATTGACAGCAGAGTGAGAGATGAAAAAGCGTACTACTCACAGACGTAATCAATTGCACACATGAAGTCCACAATCATGAAACAGAAACTCTCCTCTCCGGTTCTCGAGTTTTAGCTTCATATGTAGAGATTTCAAAGACAATTTGCACTAGTTACTTGTGGATTTAACTGGTGGCCATTTTGGCAGATTTGCCTCGACAGGTGGTTTAATTGGTGGTCATCACACCGTCATTATTGTGTGTAAAAATATTATGCTCACGCATACAAAGTGTATCTGCTAAACCACCAATTTTGGGGGTATACAGTAGAATAGATTACCTTAGCTTGTGTAGTGTATGTGCCACGATGTAACTCCAGATAGAGCTCACCAACCCATTTGCACAGCCTGTCCTTTTCACTCGTTAAGCTACTGAAAAACTGCTGGGGACTGGACATTAGCACCCTGTACAACACACAGTCACCCACACTGCACTCTGGATTGTGTCCATGCATGACTGATTTGAAACTGACTTTGGTAGTCCATCTACATCCTCCATTCTCTTCAAATTCTGCAGCATGTCCTCCCTAAAAAAAGAGACCCAACACATGTGTAGCTAATTAAATCTTGCTGCATGCGATGAAAGGTTACGTTACGTGGATCAGACAATATGTCATTACGACGGATGTTTCTATGGGGTGCCAAAGTGGGCAAAAATCCATTTTTACTCTCCTCTACTACTTAACATTATGAGCAAATACACAACACTACTCTTTCATTATAGTAATCCTGGACTTTTACTTATCCTCTTTTGCCACCCAATATCTTTCACACATTGTTATTCTATCAAAGCATTCCCTCATAATACTGCTCCTCCTCATATACATAATCCTTATGTAAACTACGTACAACAGAGCCTCTGATAAAAGATACTCTGAATAAAGGACACGCTGAGGTCACAAGAGCTCACTTTTATTCAACTTCACATAAAGGACAACCTGGTCCCAACGTGTCCATTATTTGGACGGAGGTTCCACTGAAATAGGTTTGCATAAGGATTCATTTCTACTTGATGTGTTAGTATTAGTATTACGTTGGTCCTCCTCCGCCATCTCCATGTCCATAGAGGAGGATGCTCTGCCTACTCCTTCCCTTGTCTCTAAACTGAGACACAGTCTTCAAGACCTGCACACGAGAGTTATGTCAAGATTGAGGCCCAAAGCAAGTTAATAGTAATCTGTATAGGGCTAGGGCTAGGGCTAGGGCTAATGTAGCTTACATCTTTCACATCTGCACAAGATTCATATGTATCTGCTGGTGGGAAGTGGACCAGACAACTGCAGTATATAGGAGAGAAAGCATTGCATTATGCCGTGATGATTTTCCTAACTATTCTCACCAAGTTCCGTCAATGCCTTCCCATAGAAACGTGTGGTGCTGCAGAGGAGAACACAGTGGAAGGACTGAGTTGTCTAACCCACAAACTACCATTCGCACCACAAAATTACGTGTTTAAAGGAGACAAACATTTGCCATTTTCAGTGTATATACCCTACCCCATACTTCACTTCTGTGACATTAAAGCGTTTTGCTTACGGTCCTTCACTGGACAGCACAAAGTATCTGAAGATTGCCATTGTATAGCCCTGCCTGCTGGTAGCTCAGTAGGTTAGAGCACCACTAGAGTAGTTGCATTGCACCCTTTGTCCATGATACCCTGCCTGCCCTGGTACTCAGTAGTAGAGCACCCTACCTAGAGTTTCATTGACACCTTTGATTCCATTGTATAGCCCTGCCTGCTGAGCTGCCCTGGTAGCTCAGTGGGTTAGAGCACCCTACCTAGAGCTTGCATTGACACCTGTGATTCCATTTGTATAGCCCTGCCTGCTGAGCTGCCCTGGTAGCTCAGTGGGTTAGAGCACCCTACCTAGAGCTTGCATTGACACCCTGTGATTCCATTGTATAGCCCTGCTGCTGAGCTGCCCTGGTAGCTCAGTGGGTTAGAGCACCCTACCTAGAGCTTGCATTGACACCCTGTGATTCCATTGTATAGCCCTGCCTGCTGAGCTGCCCTGGTAGCTCAGTGGGTTAGAGCACCCTACCTAGAGCTTGCATTGACACCCTGTGATTCCATTGTACTGTGAAAATTGGCAGTTCTGTGGCTGGCCGTCTGCAACTATTATGTATAATGCCCCCAAATTGAAGAGCCTTGTACAATAGCATTCTGTTAGTTGCCCACACATACAGGGAACTTGTTGGTGAGGCTCCAACTCAGTTTCTGAGAGAGGAAGTAGTTGATGCCAGAGCCAACCATGATCTGAGGCAGTTGAGCCGAGTAGCCAAACGTATCTGGTAGCCAGAACTGCACATGAGACAAGGTTGCATGCAACTTCAAAGTATAGGTACAATAGACCATTCAGGAAAGTTTCATGTAATAAAGAATATTTCTATGTAGCTATATGTTGTGTGGACCCATCATACCAAAATACATTTGACATTGCATGCAACTTTGTCTCATGCTACATTGTGTATTATGTCTTTTACTGTTTGTGTATATACTAAAGGGTTGTCGTGGAACTTACTTCACTGCAGTAGTGGCCGAATTCTTCCTTGAAAAACTTTTGGCCCAGCAGAACTGCCGCACAACGACTCACCACTTGGGATATTCCCATCCTAGTAAATGTTAGAGCAGGGATACCTGGAATGTAGCAGGCATCCATACCATTTCTATCCAGGTTCCACCGACTGGAATAAACTGGCCTGACTTAGCTTTGAGGAGGATTCGCTCATAGAGAACTGGGTAGTTTGACTTGACCCATTCAAATTGCTGGGCCTGTGGCAGAGAGACCTGTAGCATTAAACGACTGAGGAATGGTAGAAATTATGCAGGCCAGGAGAGAAAGAAATAACTTTGTTCGAGAGTCAAACTCAGGCACCATGACTCGAAGTCCAGTGGACCATGCACTGAGCTACAGCTACCAGACGACAGCTAGTCTTCTCCCTTCCCTCTAAGAACTACTGCCAGCACTCATTACCTATCTGGAAACGTCACATTGGGATGGTTCTCTCTCATTCCTACCTGGCCTGTGCATTTTTACCATTCTTCAGTCATCCATCCACCAGGTCAACTATTAAATCATAATGCGTGGGAAACGTAGAACCCACCTGTGAGCACACAAATGTGAATGAAGGATGCTCGTCCATCAGTCTAAGTACAGAGGACCAGCTACGACCACACTTTCTTATGGTCTCAGAATAAGGCCAGAGCCAAGCTGAGAGAGAGACTCAGAGTTGTTGGACACATCTCTACTACTATAGAGGAACAATGGTTCTTTACCGGAGTCAATATGGCAGTGGCCCATGGCATGAATAGTGTGCTGTGACTCTCCGTTCCTCTCACTCAGAAACTCTCTGGCAATAGCTCGACACCTGGACAGTATAGAGACTAGTTGGCTCTCTGCATCTTTTGCACGTCTCAGGCTGGTTTCAGTATATGTTGTGTTGCCCTGTCACGCTGTGCCACATCCGTGAAGATAAAATGGATTCTATCCTCGTGACGCGGCAACGTGGCACAGCGTGACAGGACAGCGCCCAACATATTGTGAACCTAGTCTAACTCGACAGACACTGAAACTACCCACAGCTACGTACAGGGGGAAAGTTGACTTCTTGAAGGGCTCACAAGCATTGACAATGTGGTTGGCAGTATGGAGAGCATGATAGGCTCTCTCAGAACCTTCCGGAAGATGCTGAAAGAAAATACAAGGAGAAAAATATTTTCACAGCAGAAACAATAAATAATGTGAGTTTTCTCCCTCCATTCTCAGACTATGCTTACCTTTGCACTGTCATAGATGACAGTCAGGTCCATCAGGAGAGCATAAACATCTCTATCAAAAACTGCAAGTTCTGCCATTGTGATTGAGTAGTAACGAGAGGGGTCGGGTGGATTTATCATGCCCTTGGCACCCGCACCAAACATGTCGCTAGCTACAGCCTCAATGTACACAGAGAATCTGTAGTAAGATAATTATTAACCTCGTACTTGTGGTGTTGGGCTAACCTGTCACCCGGGTTGGCTTTTTTGGTCAGAATGAAATCGGTTCGTATCTGGTGTCCATTGTGTGAGCCAGTAAGGCCCTTTTCATAAAAATGATGCATGTCAACAACAAAGGCAAACAAATCAACTACACCCATGTAGCTACAGTTAATCTGGACACCAATTGGTGCAGTTCAGGGCAACAAGAACTTGGGGGAAAAACTTGGGGAAAGAAAATATCCTTAATAGAGAGGTGTTTTCATTTAAGGGGTGTACTGAGAGGTTCCACTGT